GAGTAGGGCAGGAAGGTGATATCAGCCCGCAAAATGAATAATGGCCCCGAGGGCATTTATCATTTCAGGGCCGATTATCACCTTCCTGCCCTGCTTTGACGTGTATTAATGTCTTTAATACACTTGGTAGATCTAATAGTAGCATTTAAAAAAAAACAGCAACAACAAATACTTTGAAGTTCTTTCGTTGAAATTCTTGTCTACACTTCTACTGTTCTGTACCGAGATGTTTTCTGTTTGTGTGTTCAAAGCAATAGAATCTAGAAGCAAGTTTTATTTTCATTTTTTTCGGAATGAATTTGTTGTATTATTTCTTCAAATTTCAATAATAACAAAAATGTGTTTGCACTAAATACGCTTAAGCTCTCTTGTACTAAATACGCTTCAGCCCTCATAATAAAAATAAAGCGATTCGTGCTGACAACCTACTTTCACTTTTACAGTTAACTGTTTGATGACGTAAAATATGACGTCATTGTTTCAGTTTGTGCACGTGCACATGTTCTGCTGGCTGATAACTAGTTCTTGGCCCCGGGCAGCAAACTTCTTATAGGTCACTTGACACTCATAATCAGTTGAAATCATAGGCAATTTTGTTAATATATCTAGTAACAAGTGTAATTATTTTATTTGTTTTTTTTTCAATTATTAGATTAGCTGATCATCATTTTTATACCCAAATTTGACGAAAAAACCAAGGGCCAGATACTGTGTATGTAATAAGCTGAATGTCCACAGGTATACATTTTTACACCCTGACCTGTTTACCTATTTTTCCTTTGTATGGCAATCAGGGACATGTAATTACTGAACAAGAGCACAAAGAGCAAGGGAAATATTCACACAAATATAAATTTGTCTTAGATTAATTGATGAAAAATATATTTATTAGAATCAGGAAGCTCCCCAAGAAATAATTTTGCATGTTTTGTGCTTTCATGTTTTTGGAATTAAAACAAAAAGACTATATCAAAGGGCTGAAAGATTTGATAGATTTATTTTTTCCTTAAACACACATAAGAAAAGAAAAAAAAACCTTTTATTTTAATTTTGAATTGAAATTATTTCTATTACATGGGTAATGTTCTAACTAAGAAAATGGATACAGACACGTAAAGAATTAAAGAACAAGAAAGTTATGACTGTTTAACTGAATTTTCTGAACTACAACAACAAAATTTAGATTGAAAAGGGTTCTAAAAGCAATTTTTCAGAATGTTTCAATTTAACCTTTTACTCCAGGAGCTGTGGTGGACTTTTTAGATTTCCTTTTAAAGAAATTGTTTGAATGTTTCATGTTTAACATCTTGAATAAAAAACATTATTTGGCCTGTTAAAGATTTTTGTGTTTCCTGCTACACAATAGCTGTAACATGGAATTAGCTATACATGTATAAGGCAAAACAGTATAATCGCTCTTGTTTATCACAGATAACTTAAATTTTTATGGTGTTTCTTTTATGTCATATTGTTTGTTTATTTAACTAGAAATGAAAATTTTGGTATCATTAACTTTACAGGAAATACTGGTTTTGTGAAGATTACCGTAAATGGTATCATCCGGAGTGTTTGAGACTAGATACTCTAAATGAGCCACAGAATTTTTTCTGCAGATTTTGCAAGGTAACACACCACTTATTGATCTTTAGCTCCACTTTTCTGAAAAAATAAAATGTAGAGGTATTGTCATGACAATCTCAGTGGCAGCATTGGTTAACCTTACCTGCACATATTTATTACCAATTGAGATCCATTTGAGGTTCACCACCCCTGAATGAGAACAAAGCCAAATACTTTTAAAACAAGGAAATTTAATTTTAAAGATGTCCCCGTGTACATACTTAGCAAGATTTCTTTGTAAATATGTGGGACAAGCATAAAACTCAATTTTTTAGATTAAGAAATTAAAAAGATATTAAGCTAGCCTTTGCATTGTTTCATTAGTTATAAACTAAATATGCTTAACCTATGAATTTTAGCTTGTTAATAATTGTAAATTTAATAATAAGATATCATTCTGAGGCCCGCATGGAAGAATGGGAAACTCAATGTGTTTAAGCCTCATTAAATAAAGTCGTTACTTACTTACTTACTTACTTAAGTTAAAGACATTTGAGATTTGGACATTGAAGTTTATTGACAGTTAAACAGAAATGAAACCACAAATTGTACATAAAATAACAAGAAATGTGATAAAATGTTACAATTACATCCTACTAAATAGATCAGCTTCAATTAGCATTTATACATATGCACATTTTATATGTTCATTATGAACAGTGAACAGAAAAAAAAATGTGAATTTTGATAATGACTCATATAACTGTCCTTTTTTATGTCTTGCTATTTATTTCATAGAATAAAAATGTTGTCATTTCCACATACTATTTCTTTCTTCCAAGGAAAACATTATAAACTGGCCAGTAGATCCCCTGCCTTATAACCCTGACATGGATGGTGAAGATGGGGAAGATGAAAGTTTTATGACATCAACAGATGCCATGAGACATGTAAGTTTATGAAGATTGTCTTTAAGTTGATAAATAAAAAAAGTTGTCAAAGAAATCATGAGCTTTCTTTAAATTATACCCCTTTATAATACTATAATACTTTGTAATGCTTGAAATATTATGTAACAACTAAAATAAAAATGATTTCTGATTGAAAGTTTGCATATCTGAATGAAACTTGGTAACTACAATGTAGTAAGTTAAATAACCCTCATGACATATAACAAGTGATTCATCTTTTTAAGGAATTTTGAACAACCTGTTCCACTGAGCGTTTACATTATATGGTTTAACAAAGTTCATGAGTGAATGAAGGAAATAAATACTAGTAAAACTTACTTGTTTATGAAGTCATTTCAATTTCATTTTTCTGTTGTAAAACCTTTACAGTTGAGAACGGCTTACCAGTATTGCTGGGATATTGTGCATTTTGAGGGGAGTGAAAGGTATTATAATTTTACCTATTTTAAATATTTTTTCTTTATATAATGTTTAGAGGTCCAACATGGAGAAATCACATTGAAATATGAAAACGTGTTATTTTCATTTTAAAAATTAAGATAAAAAACAACACTAAATTATATTGTAAAAAGGGCCTGAAAGTCTTGTTTGCAAGTATCCCGCTCTGTCAGTTACGGGTACCTGGAACTTTCAGCTCCTGGACGTTTCTGCTCTAGTCTTTTCACACCCTAGGTCATCATAGCATGTGGGATACGATAGCTTAGTTATCGCCCTTACAAAGATGGAGGAAGGATTTTCAAGTTTTTTAGCTGCCGCTGAAGCGCTTCGGAGACATGAAATGGAGACAAATACGCGATACAGCGTATATAAATCCACGAAAAATTTTGGGAGCATTAGTATGTATAAAGTACAATTTAGTTATGAAATGCATGTCTTTGCATATACATTTTTAACCTTCAAATGTCTCAAATTGGGACGAACTACCATTCGGGCAAATAAATACACAAGATGCAACTTTAATAAGTGTTCAACAAGTTCAGTAACACTAGTATTTGCAATCACTTTAGCCATATGTAATCAAGAGGTTTCTAAAATTTAGACCTGTTCACTAGTTACTGTAGGGAAAAAATGTCTAGCCGGCCGGATAACTCAGTCGGTACAGCCATGAAACGGTATTTCGAAGGTCCCAGGTTCTCACCCTGTGACAATTATAAGCTCTGATGAGCTTTTTACACCGACTTCTGTAATATAATACATTTGTTAAAAGATCTATATGAAAAACATGGTTACAATAGATAAGACAAAATAACATTTTACTTGCACTCATCATTATCATACAAAGGTAAAAAGTAATACAGCTTAAAAATTGATAAAGATTAATATTCATTACTATACTTTCAACATACTCCAATTTGTTTTTTAAAAAATGAAAGGAGAACATGAAACATTTATTTGTTTTATTTTACTGTGCAATTAGAAACATATTCAATCATTGAATATAATTGCAATTTTTTGTTATAAGACACTAAAATGACATTCAACTAATGAAAGAATTTGAGGACATAATGTTCAAATATAATAAATAAAAAGTAACAATCATGTTTTTTTAGTTCTGAAAAGGATTTCCAGTACAGTACATGCACGAATATATTTGATTGATAAGAACGTTACCTGTACATTGCTTTTGCAATGATTTGAAGTAAATATATTGCGCTATTAAGTACATACTGGTATGCACAATCATGCACAATTACCCGAAGTTACTCCATATATGTATATTCTCCTTATTGAAATTTTTATTAAAATTAAGTGCATATTTTTACGTATCTGACAATAAGCACATGCCTATATCTTATCGCCAAATTTCTCCAAAATTAAGCAGAAATTTTTATATAGGCAATAAGCACATGTTAAATTTGGCGGTAAGATATATGTTGCACGTGCTTATTGTCTATTTTGACATACACTCACATAAGTATACATTCTTACTATTTTACTCTTAATTCAATATTTTACCATGAAGCATCTGCTTTCTTATAACTTCTTTTTGATTTTCATATTAAGGTAATCTAAATGCAATGATTTCCCGCCAAAAGATTTCTGACATCGGCCAATATCTTGATTAAATCAGTCATTTCAGGAAGGTTTTTTTTTACAATCTTTGGTATTCAATGATTTTTAACCGTTTATAACCGGAATTTAGAATATATCGATAATGGATAATTGTTTGAAAATGATTTAATTCCCAGGATTTTTAATAAATAACGTTCCGGAAATAACCGATTTGCTATGATATTAGCCGATGTTAGATTATTTTTGGCGGAAAAGCATTACAGTCAGACTACCTTAAGTGATCATAAGGTGTTAAGAGAAGACCCTAGAATATCACTTAGTGAAGACATTGTAGAAATATATAATTGCCTATATAAATGCAGGGTTGCATAGTCCGGTATTCAATATTTTGTCAAAGTGTACATGTAATAAAATTGTATGAGGTTGAGTTCATTTTTCCCTTAAATGAATTTCACATGAAATGAATTATTTTCTTTCTTTAGACTGAGAGTGACCATACTTCCTATAAGAGGGGAAGGAAGTTTCTTGTGCAGGACTCAAAGAAATTGGAATGCCCTGCGAGATGCATTTTAAGGGAAATCGTCCGATTCCCCTCATACGAGGTTTACCATGTTTAAACATGTTTCGTTTTACTTAAAAATTAGACAATGTGTTTCATCTTTCTTTACATAAAATTGTTTTCAAAGCAGTAACCCAATAATGTTTTTTATGATGTTATGGGCAACAAAAAGAATGAATTAAAAATGTATGACAGGGAAACATGCTTACTTACATATACATGTAGCAACATTTTCATGAAATCATAAATATTGAAATGCTTAAGAATTACACGACGCATGTGACTTTGAAATATCCATGAACGCAAGCTAATTCTTGCATGAAACGTACTGAAAAGTTTAGTAATCGATAGGTTGAAGACTCTCACATGTTTCCGATAAAGAATACTTCTATTATGGACAAGCTTTGTTCGACTTGGCTCGAATGGAGAATGGAGTGCTAGGAAACGCCCTTCAAACAAATTCTATTTTGTATTTTTTCTACATATTAAAAAAGTTACCCTTTTAATGCCCGCAAGAATAATATAGTATACATTTATAATATATGTATAAAAAAGATAATAAATGTTAATGATTCTGATGTGTTATTAAGCTACCAAAAGATGCTTCAAGTTTTGATAGAAAAAATGGCGCAGAGGATTTGTTGGCTAGGATAAGAATGGGCGAGGATATTGTAAGTGTGAAGATAGTGATCCTTTGCCTCCCACAAATGGAGACTCACACTTGCAAGAAATCAAATGAAGTAAGATTCAATATTTACTTTAACTACAGAATATACAAATGTGTGTTAAGGAATTAATTAGAATGAAATTAATTTCAGCATCAAATTAGGTTTTAAGTTCGTCTTTTTTTTGTGGAAAAAATCGAGCTTATGGCGTAGATTGGGCGTTCTCGTCGTCTGCGTCTGCGTTGTAGTGCCAAAACCTTAACCTTCTCCATAACTTTCTTAATACTAAACACAACAACCCTCTGGGCAACACCTTTACACTGGCCTATAGTTGAGTGAGTCTGACCCCTAAATGACATCGACCTCTAAGGTCACTCACCGTCATAATATCAAAATTTGGCAAATGTTACATTGACTTTTTTTAATACTTTATGGATTTTTATCATACTACGACACAACCACCCACTGACCAACATCTTTACAGTGACCTACAGATGGATGACCCTTACCCGCAAATGACCTTGACCTTCAAATTTATAATTAATATTTTGCAATAATTTTTGTTCATATTCAATGGATTTTGTTAATATTTGGACACAACAACCCTTTGGTCAATATCTTCACATTCTTGTATAGTTGCAAGACCCTTACCCCTAAAAAACCTTGACCTTCAAGGTCATGATATCAAATTTTGGCCAATGTTACAATAATTTTGTTAATAGTCAATAGATTTTGTTCATACTTTGAAAAAAGCCCTCTACACTGACCTATTGTTATATGACCCGTAACCCTGAATGACCAGCACTTAATTTTGCAGATTTTACAATAACTTTGATATTTTCCTGCCAACCCTTGTCAGCATGCTGAGCTCATCTAATTGCTAAAACATGCAAGCATTAGCATTCGCGTGGCCGTGCTCTTGTTATGAACTAAACTCACATTTTTGTTACTTTGGGGTAGTATCGCATCTTGAGAAAAGCTTGTAATACAATTTAATTAATTTAAAACCTCGTTTTGCCATATTATTTTGGCAACAAACTAATCTCTATTAAATACTGATTGCATGTGTTTGTTGGTAATTCTGCAGTAACATTAGTTTTTACTGTGTTATTGGTGTTTTCATGTATTTAGGTGCCACCGGAGCCCATTGACCCCCGTCTTGCAGAGAAAATTAAGGAGCTGAGTGAGGCTGGACAGACAGATGTCCGCACCATAAGAACAGTTTTGAACAGTTTGGTTCGGGAAATTTGTACACCTCCCCCCTAATCCAGATAGTAAAAGGTTTTTTCCTACTGACAAGATTATTCGAAACCATATTTATACTGGCATCCATCAACATAGGAAAGGTGATGATCAGGCGGCTCTTGTTGGACTGGTAGGTTGTTCAAACTCTTTTTTTTCGTTTGACCAATTTCTAAGAAAATTAAGAGGAATTTTCACAGCCTTATTGGCGCCATCCGCATTTGCATCCAATTAAGTAAAGTTTTTGTCAACTATGACTCCTTGGAGATTTCGACTTGAAAACCATTATTCTTATACATCTTGAAGACGTCATTTGAATAGACAAGGCCAGATAATTTTAATATGATTATTACGTAGTTATCCCAATAACTGTAACAGTTGCGTTACTTGACAAAGCTCTTGTTCACGACTCCAAAGCTTAGTAAATTTGGTCGCGCCGTCTTCTTGAAAGCTCTGTTTCTCTAAATTGGTATGAAAGCAGTTTCAGTCAGACTTTAATGATATACATTTGAACTATCTATTTAGAATATACATTATTAACATAATATTTCTTCATTTATGGCTTAAATTACCATTAATAAAAACATAAATGTGCTCATTTTAATGTAAGTAGTTTTAATGAGAAGAACAATCATTTCATTCGTAGTATGTTTCAGAAATGCTTAATTGCCAATAATTTTCCCTTAACCAATTACAAATGTGCATATTCTCTGCTTTAGCTAGAAAATATGTTCAATCATAAAGACAAAAGCTTTTCATGTCCCTGAGGGTATGCATATGTATTTGAACTAGATCTATCTGTCAGTATGTATGTCATTCTGTCCCAAACTTTTATCATTTACCATTTGGAAACATACAGCCCAAATGGTAATTGAGACATTGTTATTTTGCTATGACATTTCTTTACATTTGTATTACATTTATTTCTACTAGGCTAACGAATGGCGAAATCAAGGAGACTTTGTTTACCTTCGTTTAAAGAGCGCACAAAGTGATGGTACATCAAGTGAAACTGTACAGGTTTGTCTTAACAATTATTGTATTCTAATATACAGGGTATAGCCAAAGACGCAAGGCCCAATATTGAAATAGCTGAAGAAGTGAATTTTGAGGGAGAAGAAAATTTTGAATTACAAGACTGAAATTGGTGCAATTTGAGGGCAATTTTAAGCAAAAGCAACATCTGACAGCTCTTACAGAAAACTTAAACACAGTTGGGTAACTGGCGTAAGGGCGCTACTCCCTTCATATATGACAACTGCTTGGCATTAACTTATTAAAACAAGCTTATCAAAGTTTATGTTATGGGAGGGAATATTATTAATGGAAATACTCGTAAACTTCAACAGTTGAAGAGGTGTGTTCCTGAGGTATAATTCTCAATTTTATGGATTTGGATCTGCATAATGGAATAACTAATTTGGCAAACAGAATGAATACAGTAGTACCACTGAATGGTGTCATATCATTTAGGTCCTGTTTTTTAATTTTTATGTCAGCTGAAGAGACAATATATGCGAAACATGTTTTGACTCTATATATAGTCTATTTTGGTCTATTTTAGTTAAAGTTATTTATTTATTTATTTATTTATTTACTTATTTATTTAGTTAGTTAGTTAGTTAGTTAGTTAGTTAGTTAGTTAGTTAGTTAGTTAGTTAGTTAGCTACCTAACCTAGCTAGCTAGTGAGTTAGTTAGTTAGTTAGTTTGTTTGTTTGTTAGTCAGTTAGTTAGTTAGTTAGTTAGTTAGTTAGTTAGTTAGTTAGTTAGTTAGTTAGTTAGTTAGTTAGTTAGTTAGTTAGCTACCTAACCTAGCTAGCTAGTTAGTAAGTTAGTTAGTTAGTTAGTTTGTTTGTTTGTTAGTCAGTCAGTCAGTTAGTTAGTTTGTTTGTTTGTTAGTTAGTTAGTTAGTTAGTTAGTTAGTTAGTTAGTTAGTTAGTTAGTTAGTTAGTTAGTTAGTTAGTTAGTTAGTTAGTTAGTTAGTTAGTTAGTTAGTAAGTAAGTTAGTTAGTTAGTTAGTTAGTTAGTTAGTTAGTTAACATTTTGATATACAAGTTTGTGGTGCTAACTACTCAAATGTCTTGAAACATGGAACAAGTATGAGTCAGAGATGTTCAAGACAAATTTTCACAACCTATTTTGTAGTTTATATTACATATTATTTACATTACCCATTAACCAAAGTCCTAAATCAAATTATTTAACGTCTTGAATACGTACATGTTGTATGCATTTCAGTATGGTGATCGGTTCTTGCTGGTTTACCAGTCTGCAGGACAAAAACAGCTCTTAATGAGATATGGAAAAATGTGTTTCATTGATGCACCATACAAGACGACCTTGTACGACTTGCCCCTTTTTTGTGGCTGTTCGGACAAATGTGGGATACCAGATTGTTGGTACCTTCATCTGTGAGAATGAGACATCTCAAGTTATATCAGAGGCACTTCAGATCTTCAGAGACAACTGCCCAACATGGCAACCAAAGTACTTTCTTTCTGATTTTCAGGAGAGTCAGATATTAGCAGTTGAAACAGTTTTTACAGGTAATTAGTACTGTCTAAAAATATTTAGATGATTGTTTTTCCCAACCATCGAAATCAAAACCCGCCCGCTGACCTCAGTTGGTAGAGCACTCTGGTACCCTTCATTGTGTTAACGCGGGATCCTAGAGTATAAACTACTGAAAACCACCACCATTAGGAGGGGGAATTGATTCGGCCTCGTCCGTACAATATTCCATTTGTCCGTCTATCAGAACTTTGTTTCTGTTTCTCCTCAACTACTGAATAACATAGAAATGAATACTTTTATAACCTACATGTTTATTACTTTTAAACAGTGATACATGTAAAAACTCTGAAAACCAACATGACCAAAAGTCCGGTTTTCAGAGGAATCCCGTTTTCAGAGGTTTTATACATTTATTGATAATTATATTGTGTGTTTGAATATTGACTTTAATTATTCAAATCATTTTGTATCTATTTTTTAATCTTTTTGTATAAATCATATTTTAATTTCTTTTTTCAATAAATGTCCTGAGTTTTTTTATCATGCAAATTCATAAATTTAATTTAGAAAATTAGAAATTAAAACAAACATTTTCTAAAATATAAGAATATAATTGGCTTTTGAAATAAGTCATTAATGGAATGTATTATTAATATTTTGCATAAAATTAATGCCCAAATAAAGATAACTTTAAGATCAAAATTTTTCAGCAAAACAGGAATCATTTATCAAAAGATTCACAATTCTATTCAACATTTTATATCAATAACCCCATCAAATTAAAACATTTTGAGAAAGCATACATATACAGAAAAAGCCACAATTATGATGAAAAACCTATATTAAGAAATTAACACACACTCACGAGTGTTTTTCATACCTGCATAGATTAAAAGCACTTAACCATTAACTAGTAATTGAACATGTCACTTGTTATTGGTATATCTCAGTCTACATTTAAATACACAGAAAGTTGCCACTTAAAGGAACTCAAATGAGGTTTATAAGCCTTAAAAAATTAATACATAAAATTTTGATTTTTCACATATTAGATAAATATGAGCACTTAAATCAAAAATATAAATGAAATATAGTCAAGAAATATACTAGAAATACATTGAAAATTATATGTCTGTGCTATTCTCAGTCCGATTTGAGTGTAAAGCGTTTAAACGGTTTTTAAATTTTGGTCATTTTTCACAATAATAATAATTATTTTGGAAAAACGGAGTGAGCTAATGATCTAAAATTTTGCACATAAGTAATTAGTATAGATTTACATCAAATTGAGTAATAATCTCAAAAAAATTATTTCCAGTCCCGTCATGTAAAAAAAACGCAGTGGAGTCTCTTTAAATTGCTGTCCGGTTTTCAGATGATTTTTTTATGCATATTTAGCATTAGTAGCCGTAGAAAAATCGTCCGGTTTTTGGAATTCAGAGGTTCCGGTATTTAGAGGATTTTTTTTCAATGAACTTATAAGGAGAAAATATGGGACTTTTAAATTCGTCCGGTTTTCAGAGGATTCCGGTTTTCAGAGGGTCCTGTTTTCAGAGTTTTTACCTACATTGATTAATTAAATTTTGGATTGTATGATTCTGTGTTGGAAAATATCTTTCATGTGTGTCATCAAAACAACTGTAAACTAAATTTCAGATGCCTTTGTATTACTGTGCGATGTGCACAGCAATAGAGCATGGGATCGCTGGACGAAAACAAAAGAGAATAGCACGGGCAGGGAAAAGATACCATGAAATGGTTAATGCGACTAGGCCAAGCAAACAGTCCAGAGACGTTTGATACAGTTCTTTGCGAGTTTCAGCAATCTGCACTTTGGACGAACAAGGTCCAGAGGTACATGAACAACATCTGGTTGACGCACAAAATGGTATAATTTTTTTTTTCATTTAACGCACATTTTTGTTGAAATAAATACTTTTTAGGGTAAGGGGTGGGAATAGATAGTGAGAGATTCTTTTGGAATTAAAACTAATACATGTAATGACTTCCAATTTGCAATTTTATGTACCAATAATACAATGTGCTAACAGTATCACAGTATTTCCATTTCTTGTTTTTTGATTTTAAGATAAAACTTTACTTTAGATGCTGAACATTTATTTAATTATGTTGTAGATTTTATAAAAGGAAAGAAAAACGTAGCCCAACTGGCGAGAAAATAACCAGTAACGTCTGCTCCTCTATTTTAAATCTATATAGAACCATTCATTGATGTATTTGACTGGTATTATGTATTGTTTTCACAGAGATGGTCTAAAGCTTTTAGGAACGGCCTTGTCGAAATAGTAGCTGCAACGAACAATGGAATAGAATCCCACCACAAAGTGTTTAAGTCCAAGTTCCTCAACAGAAAAACCACGCACAGTCTAGGAACTATGCTTAAAATATTGACACACGAGTTCTTCCCATCTAGATTGAAGATGTAAGTAATTGACATATTCACTAATTATGTCATATACAGTAGAACATCGGTAAGTCGAATATGAAGGGACTTGCGTAAAAACTTCGACACATCGGGACTTCGACTCATGAATTGCTCTTAATTCCATGACAAAATTTTGACCCGTGACTAGTTCTAATTAGAAGATCTCTAACGAAACCTATTTCATGTTTTTTCCATCATTAATCTGATATTTTACATTTTACTCTGATAAATATAGCATGTTAAATAACTTTTTTCATGGCTAATTATTTGGACTACCCGTTGACGTATACAAGAGAGTTACAAAAGGTGTAACAATACGAAAGGGCGATAACTAAACCAGCTTATAGTAAATATTTCGCGTGTTGTTCTCACGTGACACCGGGTTACCGATGTTTTCAAATGAAAGTTGTTCTTTACTGTTTACTTTCAAATACCACTACGGCAATTAAAATAGAAACGATTGAATTTTGTAGAGTGGACAAAACCCCACCACTAAATTTTATAGAGTGGTCAAAACACCACCACTAAATTTTACAGAGTGGACAAAACCCCACCACTCCAGTTTTTAGCTCACCTGTCACAAAGTGACAGGGTGAGCTTTTGTGATCGCTTTTCGTCCGTCGTCCGTAAACTTTTACTTTAAATGACATCTCCTCATAAACCACAAGGCCAATTTCATCCAAACTTCACAGGAATGTTCCTTTGGTGGTCACCTTTAAAAATTGTTCAAAGAATTTAATTCCATGCAGAACTCTGGTTGCCATGGCAACCGAAAGAAAAAACTTTAAATATCTTCTTTAAAAAAACCATAAGAGCTAGAGCTTAGATATTTGGCATGAAACATCTTCTAGTGAGTGTCTACCAAGTTTGTTCAAATAAAAGCCCTGGGGTCAAAATTGGCCCCGCCCCGTGGGGTCATTGATTTTCCCTATATGTATATAGTAAAAACTTAAAAAATCTTCTTTTAAAGAACTCAAAGAGCTATGGCTAAGATATTGAGCATCAAACATGTTCTAATAGGTGTCTACTAAGTTTGTTCAAAGAAAAGCCCTGGGGTCAAAATTGGCCCCGCCCCAGGGGGTCATTGATTTTCCCTATATGCATATAGTAAAAACTTAAAAAATCTTCTTTTAAAGAACCAAAAGAGTTAGAGCTAAGATATTTAGCATTAAACATGTTCTAATAAGTGTCTACCAAGTTTATTCAAATAAAAGCCCTTGGGTCAAAATTGACCCCGCCCCGGGGGGTCATTGATTTTCCCTATATATGCATATAGTAAAAACTTAAAAAATCTTCTTTTAAAGAACTCAAAGAGCTATGGTTAAGATATTTAGCATCAAACATGTTCTAATAGGTGTCTACCAAGTTTGTTCAAATAAAAGCCCTGGGGTCAAAATTGGTGATATATACAGGTGAGCGACCTCAGGGCCATCATGGCCCTCTTGTCTGTTTTTGGCATGGTTTAGAAACAAGTTTAACTATGACTTTCAGATTCAAAAGTAGGCGCTGTATAATAGATTTTCCAAAAAAAGATTAATAAATGGCCTGTATTCCAGTGTTAAAATGAGAGAAATATTTATGATGAGTTGGAATGGTTATTTTCTATGTATTTATTATTTCACTTTAAGGTAGACGTATTGAGACGATACTACAAAATATAAACCTGACAACAGCTAGCCTGTCGCAGTCAGGTCTTATGAGTTTACGTACCCTAGCAAATCTTGCTCTATCTCTACACACTAAAGATGCTTCAGACACAAGGTCAGTATATACTGTCATTGTTATTGTTTAAGTGGAGAAAAGAAAAGCTACATTTACCCACAATAAATATTTTCTCGTAAATGACATCATTGTTGATAAAATCTCAGAAGAAGACTTCAGTGTGATTAATTTAAGTATATTATAAAGACCTTGTGAAATAATCCAGCATAACTATGTTAAATCTTTACCATGTTTAATAAGTTAATATCTTAAATGGACTAGTCCATCTTTCTATCTGGATTAATCCATTTATCATTTTTAGAGAAATTTTCAAAAAAAGTACCACAGCAGACAGTGCAGACTATGCACCAGATGGCACAGGTTTTTGAATGTTGGTCAGAAGGGTCATAAACCAGTGTCTATTCTAGGAGGAGTTATGGGGGGATTCACCCCTATTTTTGAGAATTCACCCCTATTTTTTGAGAGGAAGGGGGAAAATTTTACATTGACAAAGAAGAAAAAAGATCAACAAATGTAATAAATTCTCACTTTTGGATAAAAATCCCCTGTTTTTTTTAATCCTAGAAAAGACACTGTAAACCTTTCTTAACATTGATAAACAACAAATTAAACTTTGATTCTTAAGATAGTAGAACATTTTTGATCAGGGAAAACTTTGATTTAGCTTGGAATGTAATTGTTTGTTCTGATCTTGAGATTGTGTAATGTATGAGATAAATGTTTATTGACATTACCCATTACATACTGAATTTCTGAAATAGACTTGTCAAACTTTTGCACTGTCCATTATCATTGTGAATATTGAGACCAGGTTTTTTTTTCTCTCAGGATTTTGGGAACATGACCCATATCTATGGAATTGGGAATTTCAGCGATTTTTTTTAGCTCACCAGAGCCGAAGGCTCAGGGTGAGCTATTAGTATCAAAGGGGGATGCTCCGTCGTCATGCGTCAACAATCGTCTTCTTCTCTGAAACTACTGGGCAGATTTACTTCAAATTTGGTCTGTAGCATCCTTGTGACAGTCACACTTGAATTTGCTCATGTAATTTCAATTGGCCCCTTTAAGGGGTCAGCAGAGCTAAAAATAGAAAAACCTTTAAACATCTTCTTCTACAGAACTAATGGATGGATGATCACCAAATTTTGTCTGTAGCATTCTAGGGTAGTGTTTTATCAAGTTTGCTCATATTAATTTGATTGGCCCCTTATAGGGGTCTTTAGGGCTCAAAATAGAAAAACCTTTTAACATCTTCTCCTACAGAACTAAGTGATGGATGATAACCAAAGTTTGTCTGTAGCATTGTTGGGTAGTGTTTTTTATCAAGTTTGCTCATATTAATTTGATTGGCCCCTTTTAGGGGCTGCAAAAGCTAAAAATAGAAATACTGTTAAATGTCTTTTTAGAGAACTTAATGATGGATGAATACCAAACTTTGTCTGTAGCATTGTTGGGTAGTCTTTTATCAAGTTTGCTCATATTAATTTGATTGGCCCCTTTTAAGGGTCTCTAGGGCTAAAAATAGAAAAACCTTTAAACACCTTCTCCTACAGAACTAATCGATGGATGATCACCAAATTTAGTTGACAGCATTCTCAGGTAGTGTTTCATCAAGTTTGCTCATATTAATTTGATTGGCCCCTTTTGGGGGCCACTAAAGCTAAAAATAGAAATACAGTTAAATGTCTATTTCTAGAGAACTAATTGATGGATGATCACCGAACTTTGTCCATAGAATTCTTGGGTAGTCTTTTATCAAGTTTGCTTATATTATTTTGATTGGCCCCTTTAGGGGGTTACAAAAGCTAAAAATAGAAATACCTTTAAATGTCTATTTCTACAGATCTAATAGATGGATGATCACCAAATTTTGTCTGTAGCATTATTGGGTAATCTTTTATCAAGTTTGCTCACATTAATTTGATTAGCCCCCTTTTAGGGGCCACTAAAGCTAAAAATAGAAAAAACCTTCAAACATCATTTCCTACTGAAATAATTGATAGATGATCACCAAACTTTGTAGCATTCTGAGGTAGTCTTTTATCAAGTTTACTCATATTAATTTGATTAGCCCCGTTTAAGCTAAAGCTAAAATGCCCCAGGTCATGGCATTTCTTCAAATTATAGTTTAAACATATTCTATGCTCAAGTTTAATATGAGAATATATTGACATTCCAACACTGAAAAGCAGTTGTTTCTGGTGAGCGACTCAGGGACATCATGGCCCTCTTGTGTTAAAAATTGGGAAAACACAAATGACTTAAATTTTGCAGTGATTAGACAAATTCAAAGATTTACTGTCTAGGATGGCATCTTCAAACATTTAAGCACCATAACAGTGAAGAAGCCCTTGTTTACAGAGATTTTAGAATTTGTTATTCAATATTTTTATTTTGTATCTTTCAATTGGGAATTTTTTCCTGTGGATTAGGAAATAAATAATTTTATTATACTATTTTCAATTGGGAATATGACTGAATATCGGCTATAAACTATGCAAAAAAAATCCCTGGAGACATTAAGTTTGTATGTCAGACTATGTGAATCTGCGAACTTGCCTTGTTCTATACTGGTGGCAAAAATTGATCACTTTCAGTTCTTTAACTTTAATATCAACATAGTAAAGTCCAGTTAATGTTTTACTTGTATATGTTTTAGCTTCCTGCTAGCTCTACAACATCTCGAAGATGAGATCAGAAAAACTGAAGAATCTCGTCGAGCACAACAAAAAATACTCAACAATCTCATAAGAAAAACTAAAACTGCTGTCCTTAAATACAGTGCTTTGAAAAAGTAAGTTGATTTTCTATAAACATGTAAAATGCTTTCATCCATAAATTATTATAAGATTCATGTATATAGATGTATTGTCAAATTTATTCCGTTTTTTTGCTTATTGCATGAGAAATTAAATTTTAAAAAAATGCATGAAATTTCTGTTACTTATAATCATACAGATTTAAATGGACAGATATGATTTTGATATCATAAATCTTAGAAATTCAATAATAATAACTGTAGATTAACCCGGATGTTATAAGTTAATGCCATTATATTTCCAATAAGTACTTGTTCTGTCAATTTTTATTTGAAAAATATTTGCTTACTGCATTACTTAAAAGTGCCATTTTGATTAAACATATTTGAGAAAGCATTATGGAAATGAACATGGTCGGTTGGAATATTGTAGCAGGTATTTTGTTTTATTTACTGTCGATTTATTGCTTCATCTTGGTGTCAAAAATTGCAGACAGCATTTTATTTACTGCGATAGTTCTAGTTTACTATATGGATTAATTAATTGTTTCAGAGCACTAGAAGAGTTAGAGAGGAAGAACTTAGAAGAGCAACCAGAGCTGGAGAAACATGCACGAGATACACAATTTATCAGAACAAAAGCTAAAGAATATAAGTCACAAGTTTTAAAACTTGAGGTTTCTCTTTATCTCTCTTCTCTTCTATTCTTGTATGTTTTGGCAGTTTAACAAAGTTATTTAGTTGTTATTTTTTGATAAAGAAAATAAGATGTTTGTTAATTCCTCCTTTCCTTTACACAGAAAATAATTTGAAACTGCCTTGTGTGACATGTAACTTTTATTTCATGATCAGATGTTATTTTACTTTTGTTTCTTATACTTATTATTAAATGATCTTTACAGGAATAACTCAGCCTCACATATTTAAAATAAAAGAAAAACAAAACAAAAAAATATTTTAAATACATTATCGTTAGCCATGTGTGGCTGAAAACTAGAAATATAAGTATTTTACTTAGCATTGATAATGATTAAATGTTGTTTTTCTGTTCTGTTTTGTGTGAATATTATTATAAAGATGTAATAACATAAACATATATCAACTTGTAAACTTTGTATATTAAGTTCCTAAGAATGATCTGTTCCAAGTTTGGTATTATTTACAGGCATGTTTAGGGTAGGGTTGTGTAAAACATATAATACTTTATTACTTGTCTTATTGTAGAGTGTGTTAAAGAACAGTGGAGCAGATTCAAATATTTTTCATGGAAATTTAGTGCAAAGATCTGAGGTAAGATAATGTGTTTATTATTATGTGATAATGTCCATTTGTCCATTTAATTGTTTTGTAAAGTTTTAAGGCACATTGATCCTCCAGCTTATGTGGAGACTTTTTAGCTTTTTTCTGACGTCGTGTCACATATTGGTAGACTCACGAGGACATGTATAAACCTTACATTTGCTAGTTGTCGTGATGTGCCATTTGAAAAATGTCACTGTAACGTAATTTATATATATGAACAAATGGGATTTGAACTGAACTTATATAGACATACCATTGTTAAAAGTAAATTGTGATCACAACTTTTCTTCAGCATGGTAAAAATTGAAAAATATTTTATATTCTAACATTATCGGAAATTTTTCTGTATAAACAAAGGAGGCCGGAAACGTGTTTTATTCTATTATTTGCCGTTCTTATTTCCTCCATAGTTGCAAACTGACACATTTTGTTTGAAAACAACTTTAATGAATTTTGCTCTGAAAACTATCTATGATAGAAAATGGTCGAAGAAAATAAAACCGAACAACAATTTAGTCATTAACACTGTACAGACGTTTGAAGTGTTGTTTATGTGACTTCACAAAGCAGTGCCAAACAGCACATGCAAAAAACGCTTTTTCAATGTTGCAAAACAGTTAAATTTCACTTTTATTTCTATAATCTGTATTTTGCTTGAAAAAACATAAAAAAAAGAAATAAAATGAACACAAAAATACAATGTTAACAATGTTTTCAAAATTTGTTATTCTTCTCAGAGGCAAAAACATATCTTTTTGTCCATGATATTTTAGAATGAAAGTAGATCTTGATTTTGAGGTGCTCTGTGCTATAATATAGATGTTCAGATGTTTGTTATTAATCAGTTATCACGCAGAGCTACAGCCTACATGATAATATTACTGCACAGAACTACATACCATGCTATATGTGTAACACAGATCACCAAAATCAAGATCTATTTCAAAAAAGTTTAGTCATTAGAATAAGTGTTCACTAACGAATAATCATATTTTTCAATGCTTTATGAAACTAAAATTGATCGTATTATGCTAGAATTAAATGGCACATAACAAAATGTAAAAATTGCTGAATTGCACAGAAACAACTCTATTTTTTTTGGAAAATAACAATAAACATACAAAAATAATCAGATTAAAATCATTTAAAACAAGGATTAATTTTCATGTAAAATTATGTAAACTTTAATCAAGTTGAAAATAAGATTATGATCTTAAATCTTAGTGAACACAGAGCCAAGCTTTGATTTGTGTGAGAGAAAATAGATATCCTTAATTAAATCCAAGTTATTTCAAACATTGCCTAAATGTAACCAGGTAAACACTTACTGTGATTTTAGAAAAATAATTTATGTTTTTAGTTTATGACTTAATCACTTTACCTAGGATTATATATATATTTTTTTTCAGGATTTAGAAAAATTAAAACAAGAAATAATTCCCATGAAGAAAAAGTTAGACAGTTATCATGGTTTACCACCAGTAAGTTTTCATTTTCATCTCTCACAGATATGAAAAAAAATTTTAATCATAATTTCCAGATTTACCTTAACACTTCTGAAATATGGCCACAGGAAAGCCTATTCTATTTGCTGCTGTCAACAAGTAACTACTATTCGCGGCCTTTTATAAAGGAATATTCATAGGGGGAAATCAACATGACTGTTGTTTGCAAGTGACCACTTCTCAGAAGTGACCGTTGGCTCAAGTTAAACTGTATATGTATGAATATTGACGCAAGATTTATATTGTTGTGATATCCAGGTCATTAAACAAACTGATAAATGAAAATGGGCTGGCAGTACAATATTGTATTACAGTCCTGAATTTCATAGTATCATTTCTTTATTTTTTCATTTCTTCATATAACGCTTGCCTTTTTTGTCTCTTTTAAAGTTCATAACAGGCTATTTCTTGTTTTTCACAGTGTGGAAATATTTTTTATTTGGATAAGACAATATAACTTTCATGGTTGCATAATGTCTTTTTTTCTTGATTTTATAAATTTTATTATTTACTTTTAGGATGCAATACAAGCACATATGAGACTGGATGAAATTAAAGATAAAGTTGTGAGTATTTTAGCCTGTGTTCTTCTCAAGTGATACTGAATGTACATACAAAATCTCCAAAAAAAAAATCAGTCTACAAATTATTTGACAGATTCCTTTGCAAGTTTGGATTTTTGTGTAAAGAACCTGCATTAAAAAAAAAAAGTTTATTAGAAGAGATTTATTGCTTGAATATTTTTTAATGAATATGCCATTAATCATATGTTAACCAACAATAATAATTTGCAGCAAATGGCAAGCAACACATAGTACAAACAATGATTGAAGTTTTACTGGAAAGATACCTCATGTGGGGTTCAAACTTACAGCAGTATAGTGTCAGTTATTCCTTAAGCCACATCCTGTCTCTACAGCATTCCTTGTTTTATTCCTATTTAAATCATAGGATTTTCTTGCATGCTTCTGGAGAGCCTGCTTGTGGCATCTTAACAAAACGTCATGTATAATTGGTTGTGTAACAAATATCTTACATGTTACAGAGTAGAATTTCAGGTCTTCTTCCATCAAAAAGTCATCAGAAACAAAATTTTTTTCCCTCTTATTGTTTAAGACAATGTTTTTATATATATAATTTCAGGCTAGCCTTGAGGAGGAACTGACTAAAAAAATTGATGTGATGCTGGTGTGACCTGTATTTTCTTGTTATCTTGTTGAAGCGTTCATATAAATTAATTTATGATCTTTGAATAACATTTATGAGATGTTCTCTCATATCAATCTTGTATAAATTAGTTAGAAATTATTCATTTTTTTAATTTAACTTTTTTATTACTTGTATCATTGGCTGTATGATTTGTACAATGTGTGATGTAGAGAACTTTTTTAGAGAAAAGTAAAAGAATAAAAAGATGACACAGATTCATTGTTTTAATTTTATTACCTTGTTGGTTTTTTGAAGAAAAAGTCAAGCTATTATGATTGCTGTCATGCAAAACAATTATGTAGCCCTTCACTCACACAGTTTTAAAGGTATCAATTTGAAACTTTGAATGTTTGCTTATTATGACGAGAGCAGTTGTAAGACAAGAGACATTATCCTGAAGCAATACATTTAATGAGTTATGCTAGTTTATTTGTATAATTTTATAAAAATTGGTTAATTGGTAGTGATTGTCCTTTCCAGACAAGTGTCAACAACCCCCCCTCCTCCCCAGGTACAAATCATATTGCCAAGTGTTTTGATGTTCTTTCTCTTGTATCATAGGCAAATCTGAAATAAAGAAACACTTTTCCTGCCATCCGTAATGGAAACCCCAGAAGAAATGAACCAATGTACGAGCATCTGAATATTATTATCCCTTTCCCTGTTGTAACAATAAACTAACTCCTGCAAAATGCAGCCAATCAACGAGCATGCTCTTATGTTATCCCTGATAGACAGTGAGGTAAAAATGGAGTGCAAGTAGCTTATATTAGAATACTTGCACTTCGGTTAACGCATTGTGCTTTACATCTATCAGATTTAACTCCGACACATTTTCCAAAGAAAGGTCTCCAAACTATGATACAAACTAGTTTTTAAAACATTTTCACAAGATTAACCACCACCCTAAATTTACTGTCTTAAAAAGACTACAACCATAACAAATCGGACACAGACATCCAGTAGGTAGTAGGTAGACATGCCGGTTTTAACAAATTCGATAGCTGTCAACCAGACAATGTTTCATGCCAAATACCCAAGTTCTAATTGTAGTCATAGTGGGTTCCCACTCATTGAGTACCGCCAATTTTACCAAAGGGATCTTTTTAAAGCAACCTTTGGTAGTGGTCTACCAGACTTTGTTCCCTGCCAAGTATCAAAGTTCTAGCCTCTTTGGTTTCGAAGAAGATATTATTTTTAAGACCTCTCTGACACCAGAAATCTGACACGATAATGACCATTTGACTAAAAATCCCTAAATAAATGATGCCTAAATGGTTCTTATACAAATCTTTATATTTTTACCGGAACTTTGACATCTTATCTGATCGTGACCTTGGCTGCAAGGATCTGAATTTTATATGGGACACTGCCTCTCAATGGTAAACATTTGTGTCAAGTTATATTGAAATCCCTCAATGCAGGTAGAAGTTTTGCTTTGGACAAGCGTTTTTCAATAAGCTCTGTGACCTTAACCTAGAGACCTGGTTCATGTCCACAACACGGCTTCTCATAGTTTCGAACATTTCTATGTAGTTTAAATGAAATCCCTCCATGTGTGTAGTAAATATGCTAGGGATGAAATTGGACGACGCCCGCCAGGGGTGTTTCTATCATTTGACCAGTTTTTGAAACAGGCGAAAAAACTGCCCATAAATGACACTATCATTCAAGGTCACTGTAACAATCACCTTCATGCATCAGTCATGCATAGGGTTTTTCTACACAATACGGTGATCATTTAATGAAGTTTGAAGCCTGCAGGCCAAATGGGTCATATAAATGTGTCTTACTGAACTGAAATGGTTTTCAAATTCAAGGTCACTATGACCTTGACCTTTAAGCATTTACAAAAGGTGTCTTCTACTCAATAGTCAATATGGGTGATCATCTTATGAAGTTTGAAGGCTGTGGGTCAAGTGGTTCTAGAGTGTGAGTGCAAACTGTTTTCACATGCAAGGCCACTGTGACATTGACCTTCACATTTAAAATCCAAAATTTATAACAGTCTACTACTAAATAAGGTTGATCATCCTACGAAGTTTTAAGTCTGTTGTCAAATAATTTTCCAGATACTGAACCACATGTTGTCACATTCAAGGCCACTGTGACCTTGACCTTCAGTCATAGGTGATCATGAACATATATAGTCTTTTAATCAACTAGGGTGATCATTATATACAGTTTAAAGGCTGTTTTCTTATCATTAAGTGAAATGGTTTTCACATTCAAGGCCACTGTGACTGACTTTGACATTCACACATCAGTGCCCAATAGGGGTCTGCTAACCCTATCATTCCTATGTAGTTTAAAAGGCTGTTGGTCAAATGGTTAACTAGTTATTTAGCTGAAATGGTTTTCACATTCAGTCACTGTGACCTACTTCAGTGGCCAAATCTACTCAATGAGAATGATGATTCCATAAAGTTTCAAGTGGTTCTCTTGTTACTGAGAGAAGTGGTTTTCACATTCAAGGTTACTGTGACCTTGTCCTTCAAGCATTAGTGCCCAGAAACAATGGGGGTTTTCTACTCAATAGGGGTTATCATCCTATGAAGTTTAAAGGTTGTGTGTCATATGGTTCTCTTGATATTGAGCGGAAACAAAGTGATTTACCGACGGACTAACTTACCAACCTAAATTTTTCAAAAGGGGCATAATAAATAACAAAGTTATGGCCAATTGTAGCAAATTCACTAATTTTACATTTAATGTCAAATTACATGTCAATGCTAACAAAGGTAAAGAACCAGGGGTGAGTAACCAGAAGCGTTCGTTAAAATCACGCTATCGAAAGCGTTAGCGATCGCGTAACGAACACGTCAGTTATTTCTACGATTGTTTTTGTTGCATAACCAGAAAGCATCGTTACGTTATCGCTAATCAGTCGTTAGAAAAATTCATTAACGAAATCGTTGTGTCACCGTTAAGGGTATACACAGCATTTTGGCACCACCTGTTGTTAGCTTTTTCTGCATAGAACAAATAATTTTTTTAAAATGTTTATAAATGGTTTTAAAATTTTTCGTACAAATGTACAGCCATAAATATCTGTGAACACACAGCTGCTTCAGAGAAACATACATAACATAACATAACATATAGTTTATTAGCATAATATCTGTTTACATACATACATAGCCATTTACATTGCAAGAAATACAGACATGAAATTTTTAACAGAAGAACGTGATCAATTCAAAAAAGGATAAGTATATTGATAACATGTACATTCAGTCAATTTTCAAAAAAAAAAAAAACCAATACAAATTATTTGCAACTGTGACTAGATCAGTATATAGAAAATTAACTATAAAAAATGCGTTTCTTTGATTACATAGTATGATAGTATAAAATACTAAATAAATCGTCAGTGTATTTAAACATTGTTATTGGTATTTCGTAGTTGAAAAGCAGAATATATAGAGGATATTCAAGTTTTTTCTATAAATACATGATTTATTTTCATTGAGTGGTATGAAAATAAATATTTCATGAGTGGCGGTAGCCACGAGTGAAATATGGTAATTTTCATGCCACAAGATGAAAATAAATCATGTATTTATAGAAAAAACTTGAATTTTCTGTTTATTATATACATTTTTCTCTTTTTTGATATTAAAATTTGAAAGATTTTCCCGTACTGGCAGAATTTAAAAGAAAGTAGTCCGGCAAGACACCAGTGAAAATACGGAAAATATGTTTCACTGCAGTGAAAAATAAATTTTTACAGTGAAAATACGGAAAATGAAAATACGCATTTTATTTCATCAATATTTCTCAATATTTCATTTATAAGTATATAATAAATGAATTTAGCAACATTGGTAATACATTTTGAGGATCCACATGATAGAAGGGTTATGAACTTTTGGATTGATGGCCATCTACAATAATATGGTTTAAAGTATTTGGTTCTTAGTTCTCAATATTTCGGACATACTAATAAAAAATGATACTCATTTTCAATCATGCAATTTTACATTTTTGACAAATTCGATGTTGTCGATCGACATTTGTGTATCTTCCAGTTTCGATAGCTAGTTGATGAGAAGACAATCTAAATTTAGATAATGCAATTTGAAAATAAATCATGTATTTATAGAAAAAACTTGAATTTTCTGTTTATTATATACATTTTTCTTTTTTTGACATTAAAATTTGTAAGACTTTTCCTTAAATTTTGTGTACTGGCAGAATTTAAAAGAAAGTAGTCCGGCAAGACACCAGTGAAAATACGGAAAATATGTTTCACTGCAGTGAAAAATAAATTTTTACAGTGAAAATACGGATAATTAAAATACGAATTTTATTTAATCAATATTTCTCAATATTTCATTTATAAGTATATAATGAAATACAATACAAAAAAATACATAGAGGATATTCAAGTTTTTTCTATAAATACAAGATTTATTTTCTTCGAGTGATATGAAAATAAATATTTCATGAGTGGCGGTAGCCACGAGTGAAATATGCTAATTTGCATGCCACAAGATGAAAATTAATCATGTATTTATAGAAAAAACTTGAATTTTCTGTTGATTATATACATTTTGCTCTTTTTTTGCGATAAAATTTGAAAGGCTTTCCCTTAAATTTTGTGTACTGACAGAATTTAAAAGAAAGTAGTCTGGCAAGACACCAGTGAAAATACGGAAAATATGTTTCACTGCAGTGAAAAATAAATTTTTACAGTGAAAATACGGAAAATGAAAATACGCATGTTATTTCATCAATATTTCTCAATATTTCATTATAAGTATATAATGAAATAAAGTATATTCGCTTTAAACATTATACAACGTTTCCAGCAAAGTACAGACAAGAAATATTGTTATATGACCATAATTACAAGTGAACATTTTGGATTTGTAACAAAATACAAAAGGAGAAACTAGATAAAAGTGCATTGCCTCATCTTTAAGATGCAGAATATTTCAGTCTTGACAGGTTATATGCGTGTGATGAAATCGAGGAGTACACTATCTAAGAGTAGGGGTTTAAAATTGCTATGTAAATAAAATCAATAAAATTTGGATACTTTTTGAGATAAGTAACACAATTTAAGAGAAAATGTTCAATTAAATTATCTTTCCTTTTAAAAGCAAAATATAAAAAATTTAATAAATGTGATTTTTAAAAAAAAAATAAGTTAATAAAATAGTTTCAAACTTTATGATTGTTGGCCAATGGCAATAATATCTTC